TTGTTATAACAAAGGTATTACTGAAGACACGAAACTATCACAAATGCCACCCAATGGCGAGGGAATAATGCAATCGATTCCCGAAATGTCCGGATCTTTGCCCATAAGAAAAGGCCCGCAATTTACACCAGAAATATTAAATATTTTGAATATGAATAACATATCACTCGATGGTAACAATAATGAGAATCCTCTTCATTTGCTTCAATTGAAACCACAACTCGAAGACAATAAACATATTAAAGAAGATAATGATAAAGCGGTTCCACACGTTGTACCAGAAATATCACCGCCTATTCCCCAAACTCCAGCTCCTAATCGTTTTCCTTCACAGCCCATAGACCCGACCCCTAAACCATTCCAAAGAATATCCGGGTTTAACAAAAAGCAAACCGAAAATCGCATACATTTCCCGACAGACACTGACAAGAATCAAGTGGTCTCTCAGCCAATACTGTCCGACACAATGCCCTCAACGGCGCCACTGAACCGACCGTCGAAACCCATTCAGTCGAACCCATTCCACACCCAATATTCGGGTCCAAACAAGTTTAGGTTAAAACCGGCGATCGGAGGACAAACAGTTGGCTCTCAAATGCCTTCTTATGGTAATCAACTGAAACCCAACGGAAGACTTCCGCCGTTCCTTTTGCCCAATACTAACCCACAGAACGTACAATCGGTGAACGCTATTAGACATAAACCAAATACAGGTTCTGTTCCTCACGTGGAAAGTAATACTCAGATAAGACCGGAGACACCGCCGCTCGCCATCGAAGTGTCCGCTCCCGTCAATAACCAAAATAGTTTTGCCAACGAATCGAGAGCCGAGTCCATCACTTCTCGTCCCAATCCACTGCTATCAGAGCCACAGTCGACAACCGCTTCGGTAACTCATTTGTTTAATTGTAATGGTTTTTAAATTAACTTTGAATCTGTTTTGTAGTCTGAATCTAACCATTCAGTGTTCACAACTCCGAGGCCAACAACAAGTACAACAAAAACGCAACCATTGGTCACGATTAAGACACAGACGGCTAACGTCTCAATTGTCAAATCTTCGCCCACCACTACATCCACGCCAAAGAGTACACCAAATGCCGGAAACAAAATTAATAACTCATGGGATTTATTCAGGGTTTCGGGTATGAAATGTTTGGTTTAATTGTTATACAACTGCTTATAGAAAATTAATTTATCTATAATTTGAATTGATTTCAATGAATAGGTTGTAATATATACGGCGTTATGTATGAAATCGATGCGCCAATCGATCGGTTGAGTACGGACTGCAAGAAGTGCATCTGTTCCACACAGGGAGTCAAGTGCACCGACACGTGTTGAACACCGTATACTCACCACTTTGTAATGCATACATTTGTCTCTCAATTACAGTGAATTGTCTGTTATTTACAATTATATTTGCCTTAAATGGGAATCGGTTTCAGAATTTGTTTGATTAGAGCTAATGATTGAAAAATTATTATTATATTTTTTTGTCAATTATATTTTCGATATACACGACATAACGCATAGAATATCACATTCATATCCAGTGACTGATCATCGCATCAATTATTTATTTCCTACAAAAACATTATTAAATCATTTTTCTCAAGCGTTTTACCTTTTATTGTAAATATTTATTTCGAAATAAAAATAATTTTAAATAATCATCAGTTTTTATGATTGAGTGAATGTTTGACATAAATATTTACGATTTTCAATGGGTTTTTCATGATTAGAATTCATACATAGAATCTAAAGTACAGTCAAATGTAAATAAAACTTTTTAAAAATCGATTTAAATTATGATTAAAAGTGTTATGAAAAGTGCGGTAAATCGGCTGAGAATTACCCAATAATGGCTTATATTTAGAGATTTAGTATTGAAACAAATGACAACATTTATGACAATATATTAACTGATTTTTGATGTTTTTAAAAGATATAATAATGTGTCAAAAATAAAATAAAAATAATGTTAAATACATCTAAAATGTCGAAAGAAATGTACAAAAAAATGTGTTTTTGGGCCTTAAAATGAATTTTGTATATAATATCGTATTTACATCTAATAATGAATTTAGATTTGATTCATACATGTTGTGTATCGTCTTCAACGAAGTCTTGCGCCTCATCTTTAGAGACCACTTCGATATGACTTATCTTTAAATGAAAGCAAACCAATCATTAGATAAACCATTCAAAAACAGGTATAGAAATAATTATATATTTACTCTATTTCTAAACTTCACGCCATAAAACTTGTCGGCCGTTTCCAGCAGTTCTGGTCTGAATGTAGTGGTAATGAATTGGGCGTCTTTGCAGAGCTCGTGAATCATATCTGCCATTCATTTAAAATAATGCAAACATATGGTTAACAATGGATTTGAAAGCAATCATTGATTTGAATGATTTCGTGGTTTCATACCTGCGACGGCTTTCCTGTGCTGTGGATCTAATGCCTGATCGATCTCATCGAAGAGGTAGAAGGGCGCCGGATCGCACTTCTGGATCGCGAATATGAAGGCCAGCGCCACGAGTGACTTCTGGCCGCCGGACAGCTGTTGCATGTCTTTCATTTCGGCGTTGATTCCGGTGAATGAGACTCTAATGCTAACGCCGCTGAAGTTGTCGAAAGTGGGCGGACCCGAGTTGTTCTGAGATTGCGACTCGTGATTGGCCACGTCCTCGGTCTTCATGTCGAGGTGAGCCCTTCCCGACGGCACCAGACGTTTGAACACTTCGCCGAAGAACATCGACACCTGTCTGAACGTCACTTGAATGGCTTCGTATTTGCGCTGCTCTAGAGCTGTCATGAGGTCCACTATAGACCGGTGTCCGGCGTCCAAATCGGCCTTCCGTTGAAGCAGTTTCTCCTTCTTCTCGGAAAAGTCCAGGTATTGATCCAACGCTTTCTTATTCACGTGACTATACTTCTGGAGCTCTTGATTGCATTGTTGAAGCTTTTTATAGAGTTGCTTAAGACTTAGGTTCGCGTACTTAGTCTCTGCGTCTCCGGGAAGTGTTCCCAATTCGCGGATCTTTCGCATACATTCCTCTACTTTTTTGCTCAGAACCGACTGTTTTGATGTCATTTTCTCCAAGTCTTTGGAGTCTTCGTTAATGCGTTCAATAGTATCCCTTTCGTCGCTCTTCTTCTTCTCCAAATCAATTTGAAACTCTCTTTGCTTTTTAGCCATCGATTCGAGGCTCTCGTCCAATGTCTTGATTTGTTCGTTCACGTCATCGATGCGACCGCTGATGACATTCAGTTCCTGGCGTTCGCTCTCCAACTTCTGGCGCCGGTCTTCGACGGAGATCTCTTGGAGCGCGGCCTCCAACTCGTCTTTACGGCGACACAGATTGTTGTTCAGCAGATTCTCCAACTTATTCTTCTGGGCTTCCAAATGCATGCGCCGACTGAACGCCTCTTTGTTCTTCTGAGTCAGTTGTCTGATCTCGTCGTTGAGTCGATCGACCTCTTGCTGGTCAGACACAGACAGTTGTGTCAATAAGTCCTGTTGTAATTCATTGCGCAGCGACTCTTCCAGCGATTCCATTGACTGCGTCTCCGGGAAGTGTTCCCAATTCGCGGATCTTTCGCATACATTCCTCTACTTTTTTGCTCAGAACCGACTGTTTTGATGTCATTTTCTCCAAGTCTTTGGAGTCTTCGTTAATGCGTTCAATGGTATCCCTTTCGTCGCTCTTCTTCTTCTCCAAATCAATTTGAAACTCTCTTTGCTTTTTGGCCATCGATTCGAGGCTCTCATCCAATGTCTTGATTTGTTCGTTCACGTCATCGATGCGACCGCTGATGACATTCAGTTCCTGGCGTTCGCTCTCCAACTTCTGGCGCCGGTCTTCGACGGAGATCTCTTGGAGTGCGGCCTCCAACTCGTCTTTACGGCGACACAGATTGTTGTTCAGAAGATTCTCCAACTTATTCTTCTGGGCCTCCAAATGCATGCGCCGACTGAACGCCTCTTTATTCTTCTGAGTCAGTTGTCTGATCTCGTCGTTGAGTCGATCGACCTCTTGCTGGTCAGACACAGACAGTTGTGTCAATAAGTCCTGTTGTAATTCATTGCGCAGCGACTCTTCCAGCGATTCCATTGAGTTGAGACTCGACTCGTGGCTCACGAGACTCCTCTCTTTGGGCTGTCGCGACCTCTCAATGGTCGCCAACTCGTCCTTCAATAGACGAATATCTGTCTTCATTTTGTCGAACGTGTCTTTGTTTTTGCTGTTCTTCGTCTCCGCCCTTTGCATTTCGCCCACAATTTGATTGATTTGGGACTCGACGTCATTCAGCTTCTGGTGGTGTCCGTCCAGCTGTTCCTTCTGTTCCTGTATTTCAGTCACGAGTGATGTATGCGTTTTGTGGAGTTCGAGGCGCGACCGCCGCGAGTCAAAGTAGCCGCCCGTCAGAGACCCCTTATGTGACACCTGATCGCCATCTAATGTAATGCAATCCAAGTGAGAGCTTCGGGCCAGAGATGTGGCCACTTCTAGCGATCGGCAAATAAGTGTTTTGCCGAATATGAAGCGCATAACAATCTCATGTTTGTTGTCATAAGTCAATCGACTTATCATTGGAATGGCGTCCTATAAACGGTTCCAATCGGACAATAAGTCACACAAAAAGCAATAATAATCTAATAATAATAATAATTACCGCAGTTTCGGGATAATTGATCTCTTTAGAGAAGAGTCGGTTGATAGGCATGAAAGTGACTTCACCCGGAAGTTTCATTTTATTCATTTCCTGGAGTATTCTTGTGCCCACTTTGTCGTTCTCCACGATATGATGGAACAGCTTATTGCCGGCCGTCATCTCCACCGCTGTGTAGAACTCTTTACCGCAATCGAAATTCTCGATAAGCATTCCGTACATTCAGCTTCTGGTGGTGTCCGTCCAGCTGTTCCTTCTGTTCCTGTATTTCAGTCACGAGTGATGTATGCGTTTTGTGGAGTTCGAGGCGCGACCGCCGCGAGTCAAAGTAGCCGCCCGTCAGAGAGCCCTTATGTGACACCTGATCGCCATCTAATGTAATGCAATCCAAGTGAGAGCTTCGGGCCAGAGATGTGGCCACTTCTAGCGATCGGCAAATAAGTGTTTTGCCAAATATGAAGCGCATAACAATCTCATGTTTGTTGTCATAAGTCAATCGACTTATCATTGGAATGGCGTCCTATAAACGGTTCCAATCGGACAATAAGTCACACAAAAAGCAATAATAATCGTAATAATAATAATAATAATTACCGCAGTTTCGGGATAATTGATCTCTTTAGAGAAGAGTCGGTTGATAGGCATGAAAGTGACTTCACCCGGAAGTTTCATTTTATTCATCTCCTGGAGTATTCTTGTGCCCACTTTGTCGTTCTCCACGATATGATGGAACAGCTTATTGCCGGCCGTCATCTCCACCGCTGTGTAGAACTCTTTACCGCAATCGAAATTCTCGATAAGCATTCCGT